TCTGCCCGAGCCCCGCCGCCGTGCCGGGGATGTGCGAGGGAGGGGACTGAGCGCTTTTCTCTCTCTTCCCGTCCGGCCTCGGGCTCTGGGGGCTGTGTCAGGCCGAGGGGCCGGGGCTGCCTCCCCACCCTGCCCGGGGCCGGGACCAGGGGGAGGGGGTAGTGCTCTCATGCCCCTGCTTTTGTGTGGGGAGAGGAATCTTGTGTCGCTGTTACATCACTTCCTCGGTTGGGGACCACTGCAAAAATAAACCAGCAGGCTTTAGTTCGCATAATGTTTGGTTTGGTGCGGTTCTTTGTCGTTGGCGTATTTTTTTTATTATTATTATTTTATTTTTTTATAAAGGAAAATCCAGATCTAATCTGTCCAGTAGAGTAAGGTTTGTCAGGAGAAACGCTGTATTGGTCAATTGGCACATAAAATTTCTCTTGTGTAGAACGTGGGAAGAGTCACAGTACACAGACTGGTGGTTTGCTGTCCTTGTGAGCTGATCCCCTGCCAATCCACTCCCTACCATGTCCCTTGGGAAGTTGTCTGACTGCCTGTAGCCTTGGTTGGTCCGGTGATTTGCTGTGCAGGAAAACCCCGTGCTGCTTTTCAGCTGATTTAGGCCTTGCCTTGATTGCAGCCTACATGGATTTATTTGACCCGTGCAAACCGTATCCAGTGGGGCTTTACTTTAACTCATTCAGTTGGAAATGGATTTCAAGTAAAATCAAAATATGCTATTTCAAAGGGCAGGTAAATACTTGGAATGGACTGGTACAAATTCAGTTGAATCTGTGAACGTTCTCCCTTCCTGCCTCCTGTGTGTCTTTTCGTTTTGTAAATAAAGCTTTATTTTGCTTTTGTTATGTTAAACCAGCATAAGCAAAGGGGTTAATAGCTTTGAATTACATGACTATAAACTCGTTATCTAAATATGGGAGCTGAACTGATTGTGCTGCTGTTCCTAAAGCCACTTGAGGTAGCAGGGTTACAGCAGCATAACAGGAGTAGAGGTGTGGAAGCCAAGGGCAGTGGCAGTCTTGAAAAGAAGGTAAGAGCTATGGAGTTGAGCTCAAGGGAACAAAAAGTCAGTAAACTCATTAGGTGGGTGGGATGGGAAACATGGCATGGAGAGGTGAAGGGGCTGCCCCAACCTCAGCCAGCAAGGCAGTTGGAGCCAGGTTGCCTCAGTCACAGGTGGTGCTTTAGTCACTGGATTGTGCTGTGTATGTTTGGGCATTATGTGTTTTGGCTCTCAGGTGGAAAAAGGCTTGATGATAACGTCTTTTCATCCTTTCAGGGCTGCACCACTTGAGAAGCTTGTGAAAGGGATTAAAAAAAAAAAAATGGAAAGAAAAAAATGGCAGGATCAGCAATGATTCACTCCTTTTTGCTTTTAACACGCCGAAGGATTTGCTCTGTGTGTGCATGTCCCATTGTAATTAAATCAAAACCCGGGAGGCAAACAGTTCTGGGAACAGCTTGAAGACTGTTAGTTATCCTACACAGGGAAAGAGCACTGCTCCTCTAGCTCTCTCGTGATGCTGTGGGGGAATCTGATCTTGTAAAACCTTTAGCAGATGCACGAAGCGTGCTCTCAGAGGGGGAGTTTATCATCTTTGCTGTTTATGCAACTTCTTGTTTTCCCCCAGCACTGCTGGGGGAGTGCTGCACACCACACCTACCACATGGCAAGCTCCAACCTAAAGGGCCTCTCCCCTGGGTCACTGTTCTTGGGGAACGCAGGGGATTGATGGTGGCATGTCAACCTAGAACAGGAGTGCTTTCCATCTCTTGCTTCTTAACTGTGACTTTGTGCAGCCTTTGAAAATACAGCCCTTTTAGTCTCTGGAGATCTTATTTTGTTCCTCTACGTGTCGAGACGTCGGCAGCACGAGGCCATGTTAGGCAGGGTGCAGGGCAGGCATGCAGCAGTTTCCTGTCCTGCTGGGTGTTGTACATTTGGATATGCTTTATTTTGTTTCATCTTATGAAGCACCCCCTGTTCATACCACAGATAAATGGGCTCTGAGCATGGGAACTCTGTAGCACAGTTTGTTGAAGGTACAGGCTTTTCTGCTACAGTCATCAGGTCTCTCTGGCCAGGTTCTCCTCCCTGCCCCCCATCCCTGATTGTGGCAGATACACTGTTGTATCCCTTTGAGAGCAAAAAAATCCTCAGAGCTGTACCAAGACATCTGTGTACACCCATTGTTTGCAATCCAAGTTGTCCTGGTGAAAATGGAGAGCTGTCCTGCCACGGAGGCTCCACACCAACCAGTTTTTAACTGGGATTGAGTCTTCCCTAAGTTATTGCTTTTACTTGTATGTGTGCTGACTTGATCTCACATCTTTTATGGTAATTTGGGCTGCGTTTCTTCTATCATTTTCATTTGAGAGAACAAAATTTAAATACAAACTGTCTCCCCATCTTCAGTACCACCTTTGCTTTTGTAAAAGGGAACTGATTTCATACTTCATTGAAGATGATGATAAATGTTTTCCCTAGTTCAGAGAAATAAGCTACTGGCTTTTTTGTAGTGAAATACTACACATCACATTGTATACATATAATTTCCCTGATGATTTGTGGAAGTTTTCTTGAAAAAGGGGTTAACTGCTTTGCTCAGTACTTTGGAGTTGCTTCGAGGTGTCAGTCAGATTTAGGACCAGCCACTAGCTCAGCTATGAAACTGGCTGCTGTTCAAAGCTCCTTTCTGATTGCTTGGTTATGTTGTGTTGGTGGTGGTAGAATTGTGTTTAAATCCCTAGGAAAACATAGGCATTGGGATTGATTATTTCTGTAATAATGTAAAGGTTCACAAGTAGACTGTGTCTGTTTTTAAAGTCTAAAAGCACGTGTCAGTGCATCACAGTGTGATATATATGGTTTGCATGTGGTTTTTAAGAGAGGAACAAGCTTACAAGAACACTGGCAATGATCTGCACTGGGCTCTTTATTTCTTTTTAGGCCGACAGTGTCTCTCAATTCTGTTTTTCACCTTTAAGGATCATGCATTGACTTTATGCCATGCCATGACATCTCTGTAGGTGATTCCTGGGTAAACCTGGGAGTTGTCTTTGAAAGAAACATTCAAATAACACTCTGCTAAAATGACTAAACTAAAGTTACCTAACAAGCCAGTGACAGACTGGGATTAGACCCTCTGTGCTCATAGTTCAGTGCTGGATTGACTAAGGCTTTCTGTTTAATCATGGTAAATAATGATGTTCAGCAGCAATACCTCTAAGGCCTCAGCTATGCCTCTGCTGCCTCCTAATAAATATTCAGCTGTAATATTGATTCCTGCTGAAAGAGAAGGACCTTAATGACATTTGAGGTTACTTCTAACCTTGCAGCACAGTTAAAATCAAAGGGTTTAATGCATAAAATAAAGGAAATGTTTCTTTAAATAGACCATCTGGGGAGAAGTTTAATTCTGGTTGTACGTATGTAAATCTAGAATAAGAAAAGTGCAACTGCAAACTGGTGTTAGGGGACTGATACCAGTTTTGCACATACTAATAGAAAATGGTTATACTTCTGTGAACCTGTCTTGGAGATTTAATGGACTCCAACACCTGCCACACTTAAATGTTAGAAGAGAACACAACTGCTGTCTCTAGTGTCAAATCAGATTGAAAACTATAGGTGGGATGAGCAAATTATTCCTGTGTGAAATAAACTTCTTATATTTTGATACATCATGGTTGGTTTGCATGAAGAATAGAGGCACCTGTAAGTTTAATCTGATATTTGCAGTGTTATAGACACTTAGTGCTGTGTTTTGGAATAGCTGCTTTTCTGACATATCCTTCTTTTGCAAAAAAATAAAGCCTGAAAAATTAAACATTGCTTTTTTTCCTGCTGTACTGGAAATAGTAACTTGTAAGGCTTC